ATCATGCTGATTTTCGAACTTGACCTGCGTATTATGAATATTCATCAGTTCTGCAAGTTTCAATTCAAAAGGTAAAATGGTTTTCCACTTATCGTGTTATCGGTAAAAGTGCACGGCGACGGCGACGGCGACGACGGCGACGACGGCGACAGCGACGACGGCGACGGCGACGACAGACGCAGATGATGGCTATATGTACAGACACATCTGTGTCTGTACATAATAAAAAAGTATCTGAAGTCAACTAACTAGGAACGTTCCGAGCAGGCCTTTCCCTGAAAGCCAACGAGCTTGAATTGAATCAGTAGCTTTTCCGGTATAACAGCACGTCATACCACCTGTTAACCGTGTTCAGCAGAAAAATTATATCTTGTCGGTGGAACTATTAGCAAATATGTTTTATTCAAAATTCCCATCGTTGCAATTGCTTATATGGAAATTGCACCACTTATTAAACATTTGAATGTTTTTCCCCTCTCTTCGTAAGATCTCGCAAAAACTAAAACACTCCTGTTGTGAACCGCCTTTGATCCCATTGTACTTTTTAATATCTTGGGTAAAACCCAAATCAATCTTAGCATAAAACAAACTCCGAGCTCCGTGTCGGGTTCTGAAACACGCATGGCATCCTGTACATCATGAATTTTACCATTCATGATAAATGCGGCACCTGGATTATCGATCGGGATAGCAGATACACACATGTACATCCAAGCTGGCCCTCTCCGTGGCAAGGTTGAAAGTTCCGATCCGATCATTACGTATCAACGAAGCTGACGTGGCTCCGTGGTAACGTTGCTGTCTCGCATACAGTCAGACACTGGTACCCTGGTTCGAGACCCAGCAAGTATAGTACCGTACTTTTTTTACCAGAATTAAATTTTTAAAATTCCGTTTGGTTACTATAAGAGGAAACTCGTAAGTACGGAGGGTGGGCGGGTCAGTCACGGCGCAGTCGGTAGCGTGCTTGGATGCAAATGAGTTAACCAAAGCGCCATCAACCATGGCAACGCAAAGTCACGAGTTCGAGTCCCGAATGAGGCACGACAGTCCATCACGACAACGACCGAGCCCATGAATCGAGACCCGGATGTCACGAGAACGAATCAGGGATCTCGTGGGTCCTAGCAAATTACCTTTTGCATAAAAATACTGTATACTTTAGAAAGTTTACATTAAATGATCGATTTAAAACGAACATATTGCTGGTCGTTAGAATAAAGTCTGCGTCGTCAATGACATTGCCTTTCTCTTCAGTAACAAGTCCATAGATTGGTGACACAGATCTTGTACTTAAATTGAGCTGTAGCTAATTCCGTATGTTCTGCATTTCATCAAAATGTGCTATCTTCTCGCCGTGATTATCAGAGAGAACATTTTTATTTATTTATTTATTTATTTATTTATTTACAAAAGTCTCTATTGCTTTTAACAAGCAGACATTTTGTCTTTTCATGCTCCTCCTTTCCTCTCTTGCGCCCTTGCTACTCAAGACTGTTCATGTGTTCATACAGTACCTGGGGCAAGTCCGCGGTCGACATTTGAAAGAGTAAAGAGTACTCAATACTAAAACCGCCTAGGTGTGAACAGCTGTGGACCTCATCGCACTGTATATCGTCAAAGGTGAAAGCAAACGTTATCTCAGTTCAAAACAAAATGAAAATAAAAAGGTATCTGAAGTCATCTAACTAGGAACGTTCCGAGCAGGCCTTTCCCTGAAAGCCACCGAGCTTGAATTGAATCAGTAGCTTTTCCGGTATAACAGCACGTCATACCACCTGTTAACTGTGTTCAGCAGAAAAATTATATCTTGTCGGTGGAATTATTAGCATAATATGTTTTATTCAAAATTCCCATCGTTGCAATTGCTTATATGGAAATTGCACCACTTATTAAACATTTGAATGTTTTTCCCCTCTCTTCTAAAGATCTCGCAAAAACTGTACTTTTTAATATCTTGGGTAAAACCCAAATCAATCTTAGCATAAAACAAACTCCGAGCTCCGTGTCGGGTTCTGAAACACGCATGGCATCCTGTACGTCATGAATTTTACAATTCATGATAAATGCGGCACCTGGATTATCGATTGGGATAGCAGATACACACATGTACATCCAACCTGGCCCTCTCCGTGGCAAGGTTGAAAGTTCCCATCCGATCATCACGTATCAACGAATCTGGCGTGGCTCCGTGGTAACGATACTGTCTCGCATACAGTCAGACGCCGGTACCCTGGTTCGAGACCCACCAAGTATAGTACCGTATTCTTTTTTCCAAAATTAAATTTTGAAAATTCCGTTTGGTTACTATAAGAGGAAACTCGTAAGTACGGAGGGTGGGCGGGTCAGTCACGGCGCAGTCGGTAGCGTGCTTGGATGCAAATGAGTTAACCAAAGCGCCATCAACCATGGCAACGCAAAGTCACGAGTTCGAGTCCCGAATGAGGCACGTCAGTCCATCACGACAACGACCGAGCCCATGAATCGGGACCCGGATGTCACGAGAACGAATCAGGGATCTCGTGGGTCCTAGCAAATTACCTTTTGCATAAAAATACTGTATACTTTAGAAAGTTTACATTAAATGATCGATTTAAAACGAACATATTGCTGGTCGTTAGAATAAAGTCTGCGTCGTCAATGACATTGCCTTTCTCTTCAGTTAAAAGTCCATAGATTGGTGACACAGATCTTGTACTTAAATTGAGCTGTAGCTAATTCCGTATGTTCTGCATTTCATCAAAATGTGCTATCTTCTCGCCGTGATTATCAGAGAGAACATTTTTATTTATTTATTAATTTTTTTTACAAAAGCCTCTATTGCTTTTAACAAGCAGACATTTTGTCTTTTCATGCCCCTCCTTTCCTCTCTTGCGCCCTTGCTTCTCAAGACTGTTCATGTGTTCATACAGTACCCGGGGCAAGTCCGCGGTCGACATTTGAAAGAGTAAAGAGTACTCAATACTAAAACCGCCCAGGTGTGAACAGCTGTGGACCTCATCGCACTGTATATCGTCAAAGGTGAAAGCAAACGTTATCTCAGTTCAAAACAAAATGAAAATAAAAAGGTATCTGAAGACATCTAACTAGGAACGTTCCGAGCAGGCCTTTCCCTGAAAGCCAACGAGCTTGAATTGAATCAGTAGCTTTTCCGGTATAACAGCACGTCATACTACCTGTTAACCGTGTTCAGCAGAAAAATTATATCTTGTCGGTGGAACTATTAGCAAAATATGTTTTATTCAAAATTCCCATCGTTGCAATTGCTTATATGGAAATTGCACCACTTATCAAACATTTGAATGTTTTTTCCCCTCTCTTCTTAAGATCTCGCAAAAACTAAAACCGCCTTTGATCCCATTGTACTTTTTAATATCTTGGGTAAAACCCAAATCAATCTTAGCATAAAACAAACTCCGAGCTCCGTGTCGGGTTCTGAAACACGCATGGCATCCTGTACGTCATGAATTTTACAATTCATGATAAATGCGGCACCTGGATTATCGATTGGGATAGCAGATACACACATGTACATCCAAGCTGGCCCTCTCCGTGGCAAGGTTGAAAGTTCCCATCCGATCATCACGTATCAACGAAGCTGACGTGGCTCCGTGGTAACGTTGCTGTCTCGCATACAGTCAGACACTGGTACCCTGGTTCGAGACCCAGCAAGTATAGTACCGTATACTTTTTTTCCAAAATTAAATTTTGAAAATTCCGTTTGGTTACTATAAGAGGAAACTCGTAAGTACGGAGGGTGGGCGGGTCTGTCACGGCGCAGTCGGTAGCGTGCTTGGATGCAAATGAGTTAACCAAAGCGCCATCAACCATGGCAACGCAAAGTCACGAGTTCGAGTCCCGAATGAGGCACGTCAGTCCATCACGACAACGACCGAGCCCATGAATCGGGACCCGGATGTCACGAGAACGAATCAGGGATCTCGTGGGTCCTAGCAAATTACCTTTTGCATAAAAATACTGTATACTTTAGAAAGTTTACATTAAATGATCGATTTAAAACGAACATATTGCTGGTCGTTAGANTTTAATTTTATTTATTTACAAAAGCCTCTATTGCTTTTAACAAGCAGACATTTTGTCTTTTCATGCCCCTCCTTTCCTTTCTTGCGCCCTTGCTTTTCAACCTTTGATCCCATTGATCTTTACCACATGGAATGTGTGTACGCTCCTGGACAGAGACGATGCGGACAAACCACAGAGACGCACAGCACTCATTGCAAGTGAACTCGCTAGGTACAACATCGATATCCCTGCCTAAGTGAAACCAGACTCTGTACCGGTTTTCCTTTCATGAACGTCCGCCATATTTAGCCTCAGGATTTGTAAAGCCTGACTCAAATCGTTGTGAATGCGGTCTTAGATATTCTGCTCTTCTTCGGCAACGTGAAAATGAGTGAGCTAACTGTCTGAAACCTGGGTATTTAGATCAGAGTAGAACCTTGACAGGGAGGACAAAGCGACAGGTGTGGTACACTGGCAGTCGTAGCCGTGGACCTGCACACAGGCGGCTCAGGCCATATGGTTTTTTATTTTTTTTTTCACCGACTGGAGCAGCGGTGGAGTCCGGCAGCCCCCTCAGCGACTGAGTAGCCCTCTTCGGGACAGCACTGCTCACCTCCATGGCATGAGGAAGCCTGGGCTAGAAAAGGTGCCCTAAACATTGCCTTCTCCACACTACCCTAGTCAGCATACCGGGGATGATGGGGGGCCTAAATAAGCGGTCGACTTACAAAGAAGAAAATAAGGAAACAAATAACTAGGCATACCTCATTGATCTTTACCACGTGGGATGTACGTTCGCTCCTGGACAGAGACGATGCGGACAAACCACAGAAACGCACAGCACTTATTGCAAGTGAACTCGCTAGGTACAACATCGATATCGCTGTCTTAATTCCCAGACTGACAGGAGAATTTGAGCTTAGTGAACGAGGTGCAGGTTACACCTTCTTTTGGAGTGGTTGCAGCCCTGAGGAGAGATGCGAGGCTGGTGTTGGCTTTGCAGTGAGGACGAAACTGGTTGTCAAGCTGGCTGGCCCATCTACAGGTATAGATTATCGTCTGATGACCTTGCGACTCCCTTTCTGAAGAAGTTTGACCCCGTTGTCAGTGACTATGCGTCCACCATGACCAACCCAGAGGAGATCAAAGACAAGTTCTACAAGGACCTAAATGTTACCATCACCTCAGTTCCCAACGCAGGCAAGCTTTTTATATTCGGTGACTTTAACGCCAGAGTTGTCAGTGACACTACATGGGAAGGGGTGGTTGGGGAGCATGGGATCGGCAACTGTAACACCAACAGACTGCTGATTCTCCAGACATGTGCCGAGCACAACCTTCTGATCACAAACACCATCTTTAGCCTCCCCATCTGCAACAGGGCATCACGGATGGACCCACGCTCAAAGCATTTGCATTTCATCGACTTTGTCATCATCAGGAAGAGAGACAGGCAGGATATACGGGTCACGAAGGTCATGTGCGGTGCAGAGTGCTGGACAGACCATGGCCTTATCATCTCCAAAGCCAACCTATGCATCCAGCCCAAAAGGCGTCCACAAGGTATGAAAGCCCCCAAATGCCTGAATGTCAACATGCTGAAACTAGACAACATCAAGCAGAACTTTGTAGACACCTTGGAAAAAAGCCTTGAGTCCACTGAAAAAGACAACCAGAGCGTTGAAGAAGCATGGGGTGTACTATATGAGACGGTGTATAATACTGCTATGGAATGCCTAGGACCTTCCACTAGGAAGCACAAAGACTGGTTTGATGACAACTCTACTAAGATCAAGGAGCTGTTAGACATCAAACACCAAGCCTACAGAGTTCACGCTGAAGATTCCAAGTCTCAGTTAAAAAGAGATATACTTAAGAGAGCAATTAGCAATGTACAGCTTAAGCTACGTTAGATGCAGGTCTCCTGGCTACATACCAAAGCTGATGAGATACAGAGCTTCGCAGGCAAGAAGAATATGAAGACCTTCTACAGTGCTTTGAGAGAAGTATATGGTCCCACTACCTCTGGCTCTGCCCCTCTCCTCAGTGTTGGTGATTCTACTCTAGGACAAGATCCTTGTAAGGTGGGCGTAACACTTTATTAGTGTACTGAACCGCCCCTCCACCATTATTGATGATGCCATCGACCGACTCCCCCAGGTACCAATCAGTGAGTCACTGGATGACATTCCAAATTTGGAGGAGATCCATAAAGCTATTCACCAGCTATCCAGTGACAAAGCACCTGGCTCAGACTCCATCCCAGCTGAAGTCTACAATAATGGTTGCATAGTGATGACTGAGAAGTGTCAGCAGCTGTTCCAGCTCATCTGGCATCACGAGACAGTTCCACAGGACTTCAAGGATGCTTCCATTACACACCTGTACAAGCGGTAGTCATCAGGCATGTGACAATCATTGTGGAATTTCACTTCTGTCCATTGCAGGCAAAGCCCTAGCTAGAGTTCTACTTAACCGCCTTATAGCCCACCTCGAGCAGGGTCTCCTTCCAGAGAGCCAATGTGGCACCCGGAAAGAATGTGGAACTACTGACATGGTGTTCGCAGCTAGGCAGCTCAAAAAAAATACCCAGTAACAAAATGTTGGCCTTTATTCCACCTGTGTCGACTTGACCAAGGCATTTGATACTGCAGAGATGGCCTTTGGAGAATCATAGCAATTACGGGTGTCCCAGAAAGTTCAACACATTCACGGGTTCAAGACAATGGAGAGACCTCAAAACCACTTGCGGTCTCAAATGGAGTTGATCAATGGTGTGTTCTTGCCCAATATTTGTTTAGTCTCGTGTTCTTAGCCATGTTGACAGATGCCTTCAAAGATTCTGATGTACGCATTGGCATTAGATACCGTACAGATAGATCACTCTTCAACCTGCGAAGGATTCAAGCAAAAACTAAGGTGAAGTCAATCACCATCAGTAACTTTCTATTTGCCAATGACTGTGCCCTCAGTGTTCTGAGATGCATTTTAAGTGTTGACAGGTTCTCTAATGCCTGTGACAATTTTGGCCTCATACCTGGGAAGCACACTTCCACGTGTTGTTGTCAGGAAACTTCTTGACATAAAATGGCAAGAAAAAGATTTCGGACACAGTGGTCCTCACTAAGGCAAACATACACAGCATATTCACTCTTCTGATACAGGCACAGCTGCGCTGGGCAGGCCATGTAGTTCGTATGCCAGACTATCGGCCACCCAAGATACTGCAATAGGGAAATCGCTCCCTTGGTGGTCAAAAGAAGCGCTTCAAAGACACCCTGAAAGCTTCGCTAAAGGCCTTCAATACCAGCCATGACACCCGGGAGATGCCTGCAATGAACAGACTAAAGTGGCGTTCAGATGTTCATTCTGGTGCCAAAGCCTATGAAACCAACCGAATTACCAAGGCAGAAAAACAAAGACAGGCCAGGAAAAGCAGTACCTGGGACTAGGATGAACTCAGCATGAACACAGAAAACAACACACGTGTACCTCGGTGGGTAATAATCTGGAGAAGAGGGCAAAACTGAATTTCTTTCCTATGTCCAGTGAAATTATGATCAGCATACACTTGACACTAACATTATCTGAATTTATTTATTTAAAATTAGCAACAGCATTCTAGAGGACCAAGAATATTCAGAGGGTTTACAAACTAACAATAAGACAAAAAATCATAAAACTCTGCCACCCCATAAATAATTTAAATGAATTCTCAAAAATAAGTACTGAAGAATTATTTTGCCGTTAAATTGATGACCAGGCAGCTGTAATACCCCGTTTTATGTTTAGCCTAAATTTAGTGTACATATACGTTTATGGATTTTCTGTTTATGCATTTATTTTATTAACGCTTATGTTTTCGCACAGCATACATAACTCGGAAAATCTTTAGAGCCAAGATATTGGTAGGTCCAGTCGAATCGATATATTAATCTAAAATGAATAAAATTGTGACATCTTGGATAAATCCTATGCCATATTGCCCCTCTGTCAGGATCAAAACAATCTGATCCAGCTGTTACAGATTTGGACGAAAGACTTTCATCCAATTTTGTAACAGGTAGGGAAGATTTGTAGTAGAGAGAACCGCTATGCTGTGCTATACCAATACACGAAAAGCTTATTTGCATAATAATAATAATAATAATAATACAACTTACTAACTGATAGAAATCGATTGCCTTTTTTATCCTTTAACTAATTACATGTAGTTCAATTAATTCACTTCCAGTCCAAGACTAAATTTTGGACCTACAAATTCATTTTGACAGGATTGCAGATGCATGTAACCCTTACTTCGCATGTAATTCATTCGTCCAACCGAAATCATAAGAGTAGTAAAACCATAATGTAACCAATTCTATAAAACCATGCAAACTTACCAAAATTATTCTTTTCTCCAAACCTTTGCCTCTACTTGGATGTCTTGGATAATTGCGCCTTCTTAGATATTCTGCTCTTCTTAATCAGTTATCTCCCACGGCAACGTGAAAATGAGTGAGCTAACTGTCTGAAACCTGGGTATTTAGATCAGAGTAGAACCTTGACCGCGCTGCACTATCTTGCAAATTACTTGGCGTTTCAGCAACCCGCATAAGATGATAGATAGTAATACGGGATTGGGGCCTCAAAGGCAAAAGTTTTAAATCCATTACAGGCATAACCACAGCGCACAATTTTATTATACAAACTGGCAAAAACCAGTCTTTCAAAGCCATCTTTACTCATAAGCACTGCGCACATGTTGAGTAGGAGTAAATTTTTTTTTGATGAATTACCTATTACCCCCTTATATCAGAGACACGTTTGTTCGGGAGATGTTGACTAAATGGGCTAACAGCACATCCTATGTAACTTTTTGAATTAAATAAAATACGCGATCTGCATCATACACCATTAGTCAAGAAAGGTTGCCCCACCTCCTGTGGCTTCTGCTTTATTTACAAATAATCACATGTTCTCCAGATCTTAAACTTCGAGGTGATTTTTCACAACCGTAATGAAGAGAGTGGCACAAAATATTTTCAGAAAGACTTCAAACCCGATTAATAAATCCCAATTTTGCCAACAGGTTTGGACTTGAAACGTACGTGTAATGAAGGGAAAGGTGTTAAAAGTAAAGGTATATCATATTTTGTTACACAATTCTAACGCTTAAATCAAAGCGTAAAATATAGACAAGGGAATATAACTCCTTGGTTTTGAGATAATGATTAAACCAATGGGCTCCCTTATTTGATATGGCATTCTAACTGTAAAGGTGTTTTGTTTATGTTAGAAGGCTGGAATGAAATAGCAACTTAACAAGACGCACGCGATCGATTTCAAGAGAAATGCAAAAATGTAACATATGTTTTCTCTGTTCACAGGAGTTATGCGCATATTCTGCAGGCTGGTTGTAAAGGAGTTCAAGCCCTAACAATGTGAACATACATGTACATGTATCTGGGGCAAACTAGTGACAGTTAAGCCAAGTCTTGATGGCTTCTGCTGAAAAATTATTGGAATTCATCATTTTTGTTGAGGTTATGATTGAATCGTGATATTTCGAGGTGAAATCTTTTATGTAGAGAGTGAATTACAAAAATACAAGAAATAAGGGTACAAGTTTATAAATTGAGTAATATATTGAATTAGTTTCCCAAACATTTTTGTAATATAGTTTTACTACCAGTGTCTTAAATTGTAGTAGTAACTGATTACATAGGTGTTGTTAAATTAAAATCTGAAGTAATTCCAATGTTGATGTTAACATGCATTTAGTATTAAGTACAGGTCTGCTATGCAAAGGCAACCACTGCAAGACAGAGCTGCTCTGTTACCTGTTATCATGTTGAGGGTGCATCGTTATTTACGATCCAACACAGGAAAAGACAACTTTAACTGTCAACTGTGGCTGCAAGACCAACTGCAGTTGTGTAGTAGCTAGGTGGTGCACCTTTCACAGCTCCCCATGGAACCATTGTGTCAAATATGGATCTTTTTTAAAATATTGGACCTTGCTAAAACAATATTGGTTCTTTGTCATTGTATAGCCTGTGTAAAATGATGTTAGTGATTGAGCTGGGCAGAATTAAGCTAGCATTCTTGGAGACACGACAATTGTAGAACATGTTTTATAGGAGAAGTAAATAGCATGTGTAGTTAGAAACCTCACATGGGACTTGAGTTCGTTCTTTTTATGGGTTTACTTGCATCTATGCAGACACTAAACCGTGGACGATTAAACATCAGTTGTGAACTATCTTGAAGGATAGAAAATACTTAAAGATTGAAAAACGTTCGAGACTAAACCCGACATCCTGCCAGTTGACTGGGTTATCAGACTTGAGGAATTGTGACCTGTGGGATATAGCCAAGAGGAAACCAGCCACATTGCACGTGACGTTACAGATGCTAGTGTCCTTGTTGTTTGAAATTATGACACGCATGTGTTGAATATAGAAATATTTTAGTTATTAAACTCTAAAGCACTGTATTTCAAAGTCGTCTTAAAATAATGGGAGGCAAGAATATCCACACCCAGTCAGAATCATGAGTAAAAAAATTTATATCACGTGCATCTTCAGATTGTGGAGGAGTGGATGTAGTAAAGGGAGTTGTTTAAATATTTAGTGTACAACTGCATAGGCTCCCATATGAGTTGATCAACTGTGCCCCTGTAATCCGCACAACTAGCACGTTGCGTTGGCCCATCAGGTGTGGTAAGTGTTGGTCTATGACACCCTGCTAAAAGTTTACACACTGAAAATGGAGACGCTTATTCGACAGGATGGTGGAGATACATTACTTGAATTCCAAAAGCGACTCTCTACTCACCAGCTCTTTGCCTTACAGCAAAAACTATCTAGTATCCAGTGCCAGACACAAGGTAACCCAGCTTTCAGAGCGTACTCAGAACAGTGGACTTAGACTGGGTTCCCATGGCTAGATCGATCCATCTGGATCAGTCTAACACCCTGGGGAGTCTCACTAAATTGCTGTCAACTTAACCAGCTTCAGTGTCTGTCAAGCCTACCGAATCAGCTAGGGGTAAAGATAATTACCCCCTAACAGCTGTACTAGGCGTGACAGACATTTAAGCCGGTTAAGTTGATAGCAATTTAGTGAGACTCCCCAGGGAGATAGATCAATCCAAATATCTCTGGGATTAAATATGGTTGTATGAGGTCCTGTGAAAGATGGCAAACAAACAATCTTCAATAAAAAAAGCTTGCTGCTGAACTTCCAATTAGACACTGAATAGATTTCCTGCGGGGATTACTCAGCAAGCATTCAAGTAGGTCACCATATTTGATCCACAGATCTTTTAGTCCACTGTTCTGAAAGCAATCTTAGATTTCTTGACAATAAATTTATTGTGCAGGACCCATTCTTCTACGCAATCGATTTCAAGAGAAATGCAAAAATGTAACATATGTTTTCTCTGTACACAGGAGTTATGCGCATATTCTGCGGGCTGGTTGTAAAGGAGTTCAAGCCCTAACAATGTGAACATACATGTACATGTATCTGGGGCAAACTAGTGACAGTTAAGCCAAGTCTTGATGGCTTCTGCTGAAAAATTATTGGAATTCATCATTGTTTGTTGATGTTGTGATTCAATCGTGATATTTCGAGGTGAAATCTTTTATGTAGAGAGTGAATTACAAAAATACAAGAAATAAGGGTACAAGTTTATAAATTGAGTAATATAATGAATTAGTTCCCCAAACGTTTTTGTAATATAGTTTTACTACCAGTGTCTTAAATTG